AAATGGAGAGAGCACGCTGAGATAAGGAGGCTGTTTAAATAGGTTATCAAGACGCGGACGAGCTGTGTTCCAAGGCACCGCTCAGAGTGTGAGAAGCATGTGCGAGCACCGACACGGCGGGGCACAGAAAGTGAGAGCACAGATTGGCTCTCCGACAGCATATCCAACTGTCACAGTAAACACATTCCTCCCCCGTCAACGCCTCACGCCCCCAATTGTGCTTCGGATGCAGAAATGTCATATTTTGGATTCGCGCAACAATCACGTCAACAGAGGAGGGGGGAAGTGGAAAGCTCAAATTCGGTTCAATGTTGATTTTAGAAATCAAAAACGTCAGATGTCTCGAAATGCACAAACATGCTTTGGCCACAGAGTGTCAAACACGAGAGAAAATGAAAAAAAAAAATTTTACTTTCACAGCAACTGCCAACCTGTTCCAATAGTGAGTTTGTCGGGTGCTCGCCAGGTCATTTTGGGTGCTCGTAGTGACAAGAGAAGAAGGATGATTTTAATAAGGTCGACTACAGTCCGTCTTCGCAGTATAATATAACCTCAAGTCGTCAAACTAGGATTTTTTTTTTTGTCCTTTTTTTTGACGGTGCCATTTCATCCATGCATTCGCTTGCTTGAGAGTGGGTTCAGCATTTCTGCTATTATTCAACGGGGCAACTAAAAATGCTGGAGGAGGCTGCGATTTTTCATCAGCGCTGCTGCGAGGGGCGCACTTCAACACACAGACAGTCAAAGATCCCACATTGCCTGTTCTCACTTTCTTGCCGGCAAGTAACGGGAGACTTGGATCACATCACTATGAGGAAATGAAATGAAGAAAACTCGCTCGCACGGCACTCCAAACAGAAAAGTGTGCTTGCTTCAAGATGTTCATTTTTCACTCCCTTGTTGACGTTTACTGTAAAACTGATAAAACGAACAAAAAAAGGAAAAATGATCATCCCACACACACACACACACACATACCGTATAGCAATAAAATTACGCTGGCGTAATGCTAACAAGTAATATGAAACATCATACTTAGCATCTATATTAAGGTGATTTTTAAAGCTATAACCATCTTAACTCTACTCCGAGACATACAGAATGTTTCCTGCTGCCCTGTGGAGCTTTGTAGGTTTTCTCTGCCTACAGTTGATATATGCATGTCTTGGTATATAATCATTTTAAGGAAACATGCCTCAGCCGAAGTTCACGTGGAGGGTGAGAGAAGTTTTTCTTGTGGTACAGGAAACCTTACATGGCCAACCTTCCACACTCTCTGACTCTGTGTGTGTGTGTGTGTGTGTGTGTCCCACGCCTTGTCTATGTCACTGCTGGATTCCTCACCGAGGTGAAAGGAAACAGGAACTTCTGGATGTGTTGATGGCTCCGTTCCTGAATCAGTTGGAAAGATGTTTCCTAAGCCCCGCTGGCCTGACAAAAGCGAGCTGGGGTTACAAGGAAGTGCGTGTGAGGGGGTGTCAATTAACGCCGTTCAACTGAAACGAGATCTGTTCACATGGAAGACCGAGAGTCCAAAAAGCGAGTGCGTGTGTTATTTTGTCATGTTGAACAGCGTAAACAACACAACGCACTCACGTCACCTGCCCTTTTGTTTACCCTTTCCTGCTGTACGGCGCCCGTGGGACCCTCAACCGGCTCCCTGACGGGCTTTAGCAAAACCTTGGCAGCCAGCTGCCGCGTCGGCCAATTAGGAAGGCTTTTACTATGGCGGCGGCCAATTGAATTAGCGCTACATTTCCCTGCCAGATGAGATGCGGAGATGTGCTGCCGTGTGCTAAAAATTGGAGAGCTGCTGGGCGGACTCCGGTTTCGCTGACAGGCAGCGGGCACCGAACGCGCTCCAACTGCAGAGGCACTCCCAGCGTGTGCGCGCAAGTCGTGCGCGGTATCAGTCTGCGACACGCCAACCTGGTTCAAGCGGGACGTTGCACGAATTCATCCAAAACAGGATTGAAACAGATTGCTCGATCAATGGGGTTTTATTCTTCGCCAACATTTTTTTGAGTGCTGGTATCTGTCGAGCTGTCCATCGGCTGTTGATGTGTTTGCTACAATATGTCATGCCAATTGGATGTGTCCTTAATCTGGAGAGCTGGACCGCAGTCAGTCCATCTGAATAAATCCATTTTAAAAGGCACTGCAACGACCCAATCATAGCGGTTCAATGTCATCCCAAAAAAAAAAAAAAAAACTACAACAATGACCTTATGTAGCACGGAAAACGTATTAGCGCTGAGAAATTATGCCAGTGTCGCAACATCTAAGAAGTGCAAGGTTTAACAAGACGCCGTCACTCATTTCGTCTTTGGCGAGCGTAAATCAATGTCGAGTGTCCAACTGTTGACTGATTTAAAACAAACAAAGCACTCATGCAAGACAACAGTTCTCGACTCCTCTAACATCCGCTGCAAGACACCATGCCTCAATTAGTCCCCAAGTGAGTCGTCGACTTGAACAAATAAATGCCTCTCCCTCAACAGATGCATTCTTTGTTCTCGCGTTGTACGTCAACGGTGTAACAAACCATCTCGATACATGTATCAGACAGTATTTATTGCTACTCAGATTTTTCAGTACAGCGCTGTACTGAAATCAAACGACATCATGGCAGTCGGGCATCAAGTAGCGTGACAAACTCAATTAAAAGCAACACGGTCTTAAAGGTGGCTCAAAAGGTGTGAACTAAGAATAAAATTGATATTATACTGGTGAACGCTAGCATTTGAAGATGAGTTCAAACCATTCAGCGATATTAACCCATCCTCCATTATTATTTTTTGTTTTTGTCTATTAATCAATCAAACGGGAAATCAAGTCAAAACCTTAATTCCAATGATGTGTTACATGACGACTCAGCTTGTGAACGTCACATGACCAAACCCAGAAAAACAAGAGCAACTGTGATGTCATTTCAGTCGACGGCAAGTTGCAAAATGGCCGCCCAGTGAGGTGGATAAACACAGGTGGACTTTGCTGCTTAGTTCATACTCCGCAAATGCAAATTCATTCAGAATGCCATTTTACATTAATGGGGTGGGGGGAGGGGGGGCACATAAAACATATTCCTCTCAAGAACATTTTTGAACCCGTTTAAAAAAAAAAAAAAAAGCTAAATCTGACACTTAACTAGAAACAGCAAAATATTGTGAGGCAGTTTCACATTCCATTTCAATCGTAACACGAAAGCAACACGAAAGCTCCTCTTAAATAAACACCTGCAACTCTCTGTTGCTGAATAAATAAAGACAAGACAGAAAAGCAGGAGACCCATGCACAAGTCTTACTAAGAGCCCTAATTGTGGAAGTAAAAATGGAAACTCACGCATGAACACAGAGACCCAAATAAACGAGGCTAAAACCGGTCACTCCCCCCGTTCCGCTTCACAAGAACAACATCCACAGCGCACACCACAAGAGCAACATTGTATGACTTACAAGTAACAACCAGACAGCCCCGACATAAATCAGTGAGCCAAGTGAGGCCGGGGCGACGGGGCCAAAACAAAGACACCCCACATTTCGAACACGAGCGGGGCAGGTGTGACCGGTTGCGTGTCGCACCCGGGTGGGACCGAGTGGAGCTAACCTAAATAACCCAAACGGAAACGAGCCATTAGTCACAAAAGATTTGTTCACTGCTAAACGCTAGCTCACATTTAACACGCTAGGCTCTAAGCTGGCCGTATTTTTGGCCACCTTGTTTCATTTTTAACCATTTTGGGCGTCTGATTTTTTACCCTTGGCTCTATTGTTGCCACTTTTGGCCAATTGAAACACATGAAAACTACATTTTTCTACTTCCTTGTTATCGAGTGAATCATGCGATTTAGCTACAATTGATTTCGGTCCACCCCGGCGGCCCTGAACAGGATAAGCGGTTCAGATAATGAAGGGATGGATGGATTTCAGTTCTAAATCAGAAATTGAAAAATTTGTGTTTTTTTAAATATTAGGACAATGGAATTGATTTCACGTGACAGTCTTAGCTGGGAAAAAAAGGCAGCAATTGCTTCGTGCACTCCTGTGAAGCAAATGAATGACACCATTTTTAATTTTAACAAGTGCCCCTCGTTATTTAACAACAGCCCCTGCTGGCCATGGAGGGGAATTACATTTTAATTTAAGAAGTGGAAGCTCCCTCTGCTGGCTTTAGAAGGACTGCAGTAGTCTTTTTGCAAACAGTGGTAGCTTCACTGATTAGTGAACCGACTAACAAGCTTTTGGAGATACAAGCCGCGGCTCAGACGATTTTTGGATTGACTTACGATATAAACATTTTTGATCGTTTGTGCATTAAAAGTGTTTGGGTTGCACTGTGTGGTGGAGGGATGTTTTTGTTTTTTGTTTTTCATAACAGTTCCTCTGAAGCTGTGTGTTTTCGAAAACCGCAATTCGTTCCTCAACCCTGTTTTAAGTGCACAGGTATGCAAACAAGCTGGTTTAACAGGGCAAGAGTGCAATTCAGCGTTTCTCAGGGAGAGGTGAAAAGATCAAGTAAGGAAGTAACCTCCACGCGATCGAATTGCGCATGCTTTGATTTGAAATATCATGCAAAACACGACGAATGGTGACATAAGTAAGCAGACAAACACAATTAGCGCGACGAGAACTGCTGGATCTAATTTGGGCTTTCAGGGCTTGACAGCGTGGTGCGGAAGTGCAGCGTCAAAACACCTGCAGTGCAAGATTCACTTTAAGGCATTTCCGGCTTGTTAAACGACTCTTTAACATTTTGAGCACATGCTGCAATCAGTCCAAATTGTTTTTCACGTTACGACATAAACCAGGGTAACTTTGAGTCAGGTTCCTCTTTTTTTTTTGTTTAATTTCGACACGGAAACGCGCACAAATACTCTTAAATAGAAAGAGAAGGGAGACGACAGTTGGCACGAAACCAGGAAATAATTAATGAAACATAACAATTCAACTGTACGATGTAATACAAACAAGCCTTTCCGTATACAAATGAAACAACTTACAGCTATAGCTGCGCTGAGGTGGGGGGGGGGGGGCTGGAAGACGTCGGAGACAAATCAACGTAGAATCCAAACGGGTTAAAAATGACCAACCAAAAAAGAAACACTCCCTCGTTAAAAGCGAAAAAGAAAATGTGTCGGTGTCCAAGAGTGCTACGAAAAGTGGCCACCAGCCGGCTTCGAGGAGCGACAACCCGTTGCCGCCTGCTGGTTTCTCCTTCTGCTTTCCGAGTACCGAGATGAGGTTCCCTTGAGATGAATGGTGCAAGGAATGCGCATGCGCACAATCGATTTGCTCGGAATCTGCGCACACGCTCCGCGCGGGCGCGCGCGTGTACTTGGCTCACTATATGTGGTGAGATTTTGCAACAAATGAAACAAAAACTAAATTAATGATGATTTCTTTCTTTTTTTTTTTTTTTTTTTGATGAAAACCGAAGTCAGGCACAGAATATGTTTCTCATTGACCTTGAAAAAAAACTTTATTGCACTGCTACATGTGCCAATGTTTGATGAACAAGACCAGAAGATTTCATTATCCTGCAACAGATTTCGAGCGTCTGGGTAATTCTGATGCTCGATGACTTAATTTAATAGAGAATCGCACAAGTTGACGCCCCATTTTTAGAGAAGTGGTCATCAAATTAGGACCTTTCTTCACTGGCACAACGATCTTCTTTTGTGCGAGCCAAAAGTCACGTCTCTGGAATGTGTGTGGAAAGGACCGTTTCTCATTTGTTTTGATCCGAAGGGAAGCATCCTCCTCTCTCAGACAGTCTTATAAATAATTCATCTTGACCCTGCTCTCCTGCATGCTTTTCATGCAGCACATTCACACACACACGAACTAAACGCACACTCGCCCTTGAGCATCCACAGATTGGTGTCAATCCACGCAATTAAAACTAATCTCGGGGCAAAATAAAGTTCGGGCAACATTTTCAGCATCTGCAAATGAGAGGCGAGCGTTCTCGCAGTTCGGTGCAGGGAGGTGGGAGGATTACATGGCTTCTGTCAACTATCAATAGCCTCGGATGAGACGGTGGAGGGAGAGGTGGGGGGGTTGCACAAAAGCGCAGACGGTAACGGTGCGAGCAGCAGATGATGCGTCCTGTCCGTGAATCATCTGAAGAGAATCAGCATGGGACCACCGAGTCCCCCCCCGCCCCGCTCCTCGTCGCTACTGTCCCAACAGAGCACAGCCTGAGCTGGACACGCGCATGCGCGACAGCCCCAAAAAAAAAAAAAAAAAAAAAAAAAAGAAGCAATTACCTGCGCGAACGTCCCCGACCAAAGGTTCGTTCAAGCCTTGCGGTTATTTCCCCTCCACTCAACGCGCGGGGCTGGTGCTGCTGCTGCTTGTCGCCACTTGGACGGAAATTCACGCGACGGGGATTTGTTCACGTGGTCACGCTTGTGGTTTCTAATTGGACGAGAAGCACGGACCGTCTGTCAGTCTCATCGCACCTGCTCTCGAACTAACTATCTGCCTGTGCAGCTCCAGGGTTCTGTGCTCCAATGTGGATTTTGCATGTTCTCTTTGTTCTTGTGTCCTTTAAGTGCATGCGTGCCGTTTTATAGTCAATATAGTGCACACATGAGCTTGAAAATGTGTGTGCGTGTGTTTTTTTAAAAGCATAGTTGAGAGCTGTGAACAAAGTAAACCCCTGCACTAAGCAGTTTCAGCATTGCAATATAGTGCACACATGAGCTTGAAAATGTGTGTGTGTGTTTTTTTTTATATAGCATAGTTGAGAGCTGTAAACAAAGTAAACCCCTGCACTGAGCAGTTTCAGCATTTGCGACTGTCAGGCATGCACACAAACATACTACACACATGGAACTGACTCCTCTACCCGCTGGGGCCACGGCACAGCAGCAGTCAATGGTGCTGGAATATTTTTAGCTTTCATGTGGGTTGCAGATGCGGGTCGGCTCCAGCCGGCCTCATCAACCAGAACGGCGGCAATATTCAAGGCCTTAATTTACTTCTGTGCAACATTTACCTGTGTGCATCCGACATCTCGCTCTTATGGTGGCCATAAATCCTCCCCCCTCCCTCTTGACTGTCCTCCAGAACATGCTTTTATTTTTAGCCATCCTAGAATAAAGTGTAATTGCACATCCACTACAGTAGGTGGCAGTGGCGCTCTCATTTTTTTTTTCAGGTAAATGAATGCATGCCTGTGAATTTTTTTCTTCTTTCTGAGAGGCACGGAAGAAAATTACATTCATAAAAGGTTTTGTGATGGCCACAGTTTGATCCTGGAACTAATTTCTTCCATTTCCATGACTTTCCATAGGACCGGGGGTCAAGCAGCATCCCGGATTGTGTCGGACCTCAAAGGTATCACTGTTTTACAATTGAAGGGTTTCTGCAGCTTACGGAGTTGCAGGGTGACGGCCTTGTTATCCAGGAGAACAAAAGATGAGACAAGAGCAACCGTCCCCTCCTCCCGTGTCCTTCTATCCTCTCATCCACCCCCATCACAAACGCCTACCATCTGACTCCTCTTTTTTTTTTTTCTTACCCCAACTACAGAAGCACACCTATTGTTTGACCCATCGGTTGGCTGGCGACGTGGGCTTGATTGCGTGGAGAGAAACAGACGGACGGCGCCATATTTAGGCCTGTGTGAGGAACAGGCTTGATTCATTTGGTAAGATGCCACCTGGATACGTGATCACAAGCGGGACACAGAGGAGAGTTGGGCTGTGTTTGTGTGTGGAAGTCTTGCTGGGTTGGCCAGAACCTGGACGGACGGACGGGCAGCAGATGGTGTTGCCGCCGCACGAAGCGGGACGCTCACCAACACACATGCAGGCAGCCAAAAATATTCATCTGCATTTCACATTGCGCCACCCCCCCCTCCCTCCCCCTCGCTATTATTTGTCTTATCAATCACGCAAAGTTGCGTCGACCTTCTAAGTGCTTTCGACGACCACAATTTCCAATTTAGTATCCTATTAGAAAAGTTTCCTCATTATACTTTGGGGGAGATAACATGTCTCGGCCAACAACGGAATAATCCATCTTGGTAAAATTATCCTTAAATACCATTCCAAATGATATTGCCGAGGTGTCCTACAGGTGAACAGATGTTCACACGGGAAGCCCCGAGGCAAGATTCGAACCCAGAACCTCAAAACGGTCATGCAACCGTTCTCAGCATGAAACCACAATGCTCCTCCCCTCACAAGATGCGGTGTGATTAAGATCACGTGCATGAACAGGCAATAGTACGGCAACTCACAAAGCCCTTCCACTGCGCGCACACACGCACACACACAAACCACAATGTGGTGTTGAGCGGGGAAATAATCCGGTGGTGTGAACATCTGTTGTCTGTGACAGGTGATGGTAAGGTGAGACGAGATTGGCGCACCCACTCAAGGCCTGACACGGTTCATCAGCGCGCGCACACACACACACACACACATACACACAGAGCTCGGGTGGTGCATTCATTAAAAGGGTTGACAGTGGAAGTCTCCAAAACACGTTAGCAGACCTAAATTTGTACAATGCCACACATTTGGTTTCAACACCCCGACAAAAGCGGCGCGACCCCGATGCACCGCCATTTCTTCACAAAAGACAATAACGAGGAGCGTGGACGGAGGTGGCAAACGTATTCAAAGTTGTGGGTGACAAAAGAAAAGGACTCAAGTAAATGTAGCAGTACTCGTTCAACTAAAAAAAGTACAAATAGAAATTCCAAAACAGAAGTTAAAAGAAAAATAACTGTGCTGAATTCACAAGCAAATGGACACTTTTCAAGCCTCATACACCCGACTAATTAATGATGGCAACAAAGTGGGACGAATGAAAATGAACCGCTGGCTGGGTGATGCAAAGCTGTGAAAGCGCCAACTCTTGCGACAGGGACACCAGTAATCACTTGCGTATTTCAACGTGATCAACTTTGTATTCTATCCATTAAAAACGCATCATTTCACATGGCGATTGGCTACCTTGAGCAAAAAGTCGCACACGCAAGAAAAAGAAAAAAAGCCAGCATGTGGCACTCACGCTCAGCAGAAGTGAGGCAAAAGCCACGAGGGAAGTACAACACGAATTGCAGACTTCCATTTTATGCGCTTGTATTTTTTTTTCTATTAATAGTATTGAATGACGCCAGACAAGTGATATGGTCTCGGCTTTGACAACTCTCGGAAGGTCGCCGCTCTGGCCTTCCTGTGTGGAGTTTGCATGTTCTCCCCGGGCCTGCGTGGGTTTTCTCTGGGTATTCCGGTTTCCTCCCACATTCCCAAAAAACATGCGTGCCAGGTAATGAACCCTCAAAATTGTTCCAGGTTGTGAGTGTGAGCGCGGATGGTTGTTCGTCAACGTCCAGGGTGTCAAACTGTGGGGAAGGGTCCCCGCCCCCCCCCCCCCCCCGCGACCCAGTCATGTCACATGACAATATTTAACACTATTCCACCAAAATAGTCATCCAATTTAGTTCCACATTTTTTTTGTAATTTTTACCTTTACGCAGATGTCTTTGCTTGACTGTGCGGCCTGAAGCAAAAAATAAATACACACCAAAGTCCCACTGAATTTCCCCTTGAGGGATCATAATTAATATAACAAATGAATGACAATTGAAATGAAATGAATACCTCTTTGAACGGGGCACTTAGGGTTGAGAAATATCATTTTCCCCAAAAGACATGAAAAACACAAAAGCTTTTTCGTAAGTCTCCTGTGGTGGAGGAAATTAACATAACAAATGCACGTTTAACAAGATGGAATGCAATATGTTGTCAAGTGCACGTATACTTTCAGATCCTCAAATGAAGCGCTAAAAGATGCCATTGTTCCCAATCCCATTTTTTTCCCCTCCCTACATTCTGTCAAGTGCAGGGACATTCTCTGTGATCATGTTAATTGCCTGGGTGTGCAATTTTATTGTGTGATAATTGCTCTGTGTCTGGATGGGTATTTTAGGTATGACTATTAGTGCAGTGGGATCTGGCCCTGGTGGAATTAGCCCCACCAAGTGATTGATGGGTCCCTCATAATCTCCCATCACTGCTTTCTTTATCGAGCCGACATTGTCAGATGCTCTAACTTCAAAAATATGAGTCCTCTGACTCCCTCACTAATGACGCTTTAGACCTTTTCGGCCCGGCAACAGATGAAAATGAACGTAGGATATTTACATCCGTGGTGCTAATTGACTTGATCGCGTCTGAAACCTTCCATGGGCTTGTAAGGCTTCGGAGTCTGGCATGTTGACTTCAAAAAGTGTTAGGTGTGCAATTTTTGGATACCCAGGTGTCTGTTTCATGTCAGACAATCGCAAGGTTGGTTGCGTACGCAAAAGTTTTTACCTCACAGTACACATTTGCACAAAATGTTGTGTTTAGCTTTGTGTGGTTACAGTAAACTCCCCTCCATCGCGGGTTTTACTCTATGTTCCTGACCATCCCCGCTATAAGTAAAATCCTGCAATTTAGAAACATCTCTACATGTTTTTATAGCATTTTGGGCACTTAATTTTAAAAGGACTTTTTAAATACACCTAAAATACAAAACACCTTTAAAAACATATATTGATTGAGAGTAACAGCAATGGATAAGGCAAAAATATTGTAAACAAATTCTCTTTTGTAAAATAACAAATTTATGTCATAACATACATAAGAGAATAATTCCCGGAGATGTACATGATACAGTAGGCGTAAAAAGCAGGATTACAGAGGATCTAATATTGAATTTTACTTATTTTTTTGGCCAAAATTAGACAGATCCCAAAATAGATTTACTGCCTTCTTTCATTCTTCTTGAAGTCGGGGGGTTTACTGCATATGGTTCTTTAAATTTGGGAAATTCACGGGTTACGACATTATTCACATTGGATTATGAATTCATTCTTGTTCCAACTTTAGATTTTTTTTTTTGAAGACTTAAGTATTTCTTGTAATTTTGTGGGACTTAAAGAAAATGTTCATCAAAAATTGCAACTTTTGAAAAACAATTCATACAAAGGAGCATTGAAACCATATTACTACAAAAAAAACTACAAGAAAATAAATAAATAAACATGTTCAAAGTCATAAACAAAGGCTTTGCTAGCAGGTGTCAAACTGAAGGCCCGAGGGTCAGATTCGGCCCGCCACATCATTTTATGTGGTCCGCAATTTTAATCTCATAAGATTACAATTCTTTAGACATGGTCAATATCAGAATACAGTATTGACTTTTTTTGACAGAACACACACACACACAAACTTGTTGTGATGATGTACGGTGACCAGGTTTTCCAAAGGTAAACCACACACTCATTGGGTAGGCATGTGGCCAAAATGGTCCAATTCACAGGAGAGTATCAGCAACGGCAAAAAAAAACAACAAAAAAAACAGGAAGACAACCAGCGAACCTAAAAAGGAACTTATTGCGCTGCGCGGTAGAAAAGTGGCACATGCATCTTTGTCCTTGCTCAACACGACGTGGCGAGAGCCATCACAATTTTCATAAAACAATTTGTTTTGATGTTTTAACATAAAGATGGTTGAGCTTGTTTTTTTTCCTTCCAAATGTAAAAACGATCGTTAAGGATGTTAAAATGAATCTGGAAGGGTTTATTTCTCGTATTTCCTCTGGGAAGATTCAGTTGTGTAACTGTACAGTGTTCTCCCGGGGAAAAGCGAGCTCTGTGCAAGAGGTGAAAATCTGCTCATCTTCAACGCATGCCAAAGCACCCCCTCTTCCATCACTACCCTACTCTGATGTAGTAGTCATAATTACAGTAAATATTTGTATGACCACCCACTCCCCAAAAAATACAACTAAAACAATTTCAAGCTGTAAATTAATGCTACAAATACAAAAAAGAGTAAGCAACCACGTCTTGTGCAAACTAGTTCATTGCTCGCCATTATGATCTTGCGTCGGCACCGTCACAAAAACTCTTATTAGTCATTTCTTGATCCGATTCCAAACCTTGTAGCATCTGCATTGTGTGAACGGGTAATGCCAGCACACATTTTCCCTGTTGGTTTGTGCAGCAGCCGTGTGTGAACCCCATTTCCATTTTCATGACGGTTGCACCTTTTTTTTTTTTTCAAAATAATACTCATACTAAAAAAAATAAATTAAAAAAAAAATGTAATCTGGCAATATAATTAAAAATTATGAAATCGGTACCGCTACCGTGGTTTAATCTGAAATGTCATGGCTATAAATTACAATGCACAGTAAAATCCGTGTTGCAAATTAAAAAAAAAAAAAAAAAATCTCAAAACGCTGATGTGCTAAAAAGAAAAAAAAAACAGTACACATTTTAAATCAGCATTAGAAATACCTTCAGTGACACATAAAGCCATCTCTGATTAAAATTTGCTGTTGACCACTCTAGTTAAGGATAGTCTTGATATTTTATTGTATTTTATTTTATAATGCTCAACAGGAAGTCGAGCGTCATACATTAGAATTCGATCACACCAAGTATGAAAGTGGCATTTTCTTTTTACCCATTAGGTTGGTGGGTGAGCTGGAGCGAGAGGCGGGGTACACTCAGGGCTGGTCGCCGGTCAACAGCTGGGCACATATGGACAAACGTCGCTATGGCAACCCTACGTGAGCAAAAGAAAGCGGCTGCGTCGTTTGTGTGAATGAATCGCGTACGCAACAAGAAACACGAAATATGTCTTCTCGTCCATGCATGCATTCCTACATGACACACTTTGAGTTCAAGCCGTTATTTAAGCTCTCACTCACACGCATTCGCACTTTATCGAAGCACATTCATGAACATACATAGAAAAAGGGAAGCTGCATGTTACGAAACAAAAAAAAGCATCTAACATGTCTCGTACCGAAAACTTTTCTTTTAGTTTGTGCCAGTAGTTTTTTTGTTCTTCAGGGAAGGGGGAAAAAGGGAGTGTGCGCCTGTCACGTTACCATGGTTACAGATAGGTCCTACCTTCCTCCTCTTGTTGGTCCAGCAGTAACAAGGACACAAACCAAAGTGTAAGTGTGACCACTGGATGGGGGAGTGGAAACAAAAGGGTTTTTTTTTTTGTTGTTTTTTTGAAAGGCGCTTATGTCAGTGCACGTGTCTGTAGTCCTGTTGGGCCTAAACGGGAGGAGGAAAAAAGGAGAAATGTGGCTCCGTAGTGACGCTCGCCCCGGGATGGAAAGCGAGAAGCGTTCAAGTTCCGGCTGACGCAAAAGAGACCACCGAGCCCGAGCAGGGTTAGGTGGTCTCTTTGCCCTGGGTGCCGGTGACTGTTTTGATGGAGCTGAGCGTTCGGTTGAACCAGGTCTTCTTGGCCGCCTGGACCTCGTTGAGAGCCAGACCCAGATGGTGCTCCAGGTCCTGATGGCAGAGGAATGGCAGGAAAGTCAGCACGTAGCAACTCACAAAGAGTTTTTCACGTTTAAGGAGATCCACTGTGCTCAGCTTGAACTACTTTAACACTCGCCCAAATTACACGCGAGGCCATTTTTTTTTTTTTTTTTTTTTTAGGCTGCCGAAAGGAAGCGTTTGAGCTACCTGGATCTTGCACTCGGCCTCCACCAGCTGCAGTTTGGTCTGCGCCAGTTCCAGCTCCATTTCCCTCAACTGGTTTTTCAAAGCCTCCTTCTCCTCATCCGTCTCCTCGCTGCCTCCAGGTGGCGGCGCCGCCACGGGCGCCCGAACGCGACCTTCCTTGTTGAAAAGGCTGCTGCATTTGTCGCAGCCCTCCACTTTGGCCTGGAGAGGAGAGAGGACGGTTAAACACAAAACCGCTTCAGTGGACTAAAGGCTGCGGGATAAACGAAGGAACTAGAAGTGTTTTCTTCCTCATATGTTCAAAAAAAGGGGGAAGAAATTGTCACTAAACAAACAATGCATCGTTCTAACTTTGCACAAGAGAACTACCATATTTCTGCGTCGTGGCCAGAGGCATTGATTAACCTATCTGCAGAGAGTCCCGGGCAAATGGGTGTTTGAACAAATGCAAATTTCTTGGGTCACATTTACAAAACTATTCGGTATTTATAGCGAAAGGATCCATTTTAATCTCTGGAATGTAGTCGTTATACTATTTGATCCATCCACAATGTATGCACTGAACGAGCTCTGCCTTTGCGCTCCATTTACTCCTCGTGGCTGAGGTAATCCCCAAGGCACGATGCCGGGTACATACACTTCTCCAAAGTCACGTTCAAGTGCGTGCGTGCGTCCGCGTATGCGTGCATATGCATGTGAAGGGAAAACTCACTCTGATCTTCTCAAGCTCTCCTCGATTGGCCGCCTGTTGCTTCTCCAGCCGCTCGCTCAGCTGGGAGCAGATCTGGAAGGAGATGAGTTGCCCTCAGTGAATTTTCATGTTTTATGAAGATAAAAAACAAGGATATTCATATACTGTAACGTTCAGACTGCAGGATGCAACATTTTTGCCCCATACTTAACCCCCGAGTCTTAAACAAGGATACATACTATTAAATTGCACTTCTGTCCTAAATGATCTTCTCTGTGCTGGCGTTTAGCTTTAGCCTTAGTTTGAAACCTTATGCCACAATTTGGTCAAATTCATTCCCCCCCGAAATGTATCCAATTGGTCCATCAAGTGTAGAATATCGTCAAAAGATGGTGCTTAAAATCAAGGGGGCTCAGAGGGCACTCTTGCAGGTAAACGCCCCTCTTTTTGTATCCTGCGCCTGAATCTCACACCCGAAGCATGACAAGGGAAACAACATCGTGCAAGTAGAGAGCGCAACGTAATACAAGTTATCCCAAGTCAAACGTGAGCTCTTCCAGCCTCTGGTCAACAAGAGCATTCTCGTTTCTCATCCACAGCGTCTCTTCTTATCCTCCCCGCAGCAGATAGTCATCATAGTCCTCCTACGGGCCTTTTTTATCTCTTCCTGTTGTCATCTCTTTTCCTTTCAGCTGCCTGTACACTTGCCATCGACCTCCCACATCACTACGGGTTTTTTCTTCCCCCACCCCTCCTTGATCTTCCAGCTGCGAAACATTTATTTTTAGATTTGTAAACGTTCTACCTGTTCCGCAAGAGAATGTGCTGGCGTTTATGTGACTCAAAAGCTGGAAATTATTCCAATGTACAGAATTGAGAATATATTGTCAACATGTTTAAAGCAATGTGATCTAAAAATGAAACCCCAAGTTAAAGAATTTGAAATCATTTGGATGCGTCACTGGTTGGTAATAAGGTAGGTGTGCAACCCCAATTCTTTTTCTAGGCACCAATGCAGGTATTGTCAGGTAAAATGGCGCTATAACGTTTTTGAATACTGACAACTTTGCCTCTAAAGATGTCCTCCTCTTGCTATTTCTGTCCGCACACTCAGGCGGGGAGTGACAGAATTGTTGCATAACAGCTCCGCAATGGCAATACGGGAGAAAATGGATCCGCGATGGGGTTTGCATTTCAACATCAAGCGACAGGATGACATCCAGAAAGGATGAAACGGCGCTAGGAGGAGTCGGAATCTGCTCACAGTCATCACAGAGTTCGCCTGAAGGACACGGCGTCTTGATGTTGAGATTTTCTGCACCGCACACACAAACTCACACGCTATGAATTATTTGTGCAGCACAAAGGAAAAAAACACCCAAAAATAAGAGTCATGGGGTCATAGAGAAGATTGGTGAATGTATGGGAAGTGTCAAAGTGTGCCATGTTGAGAATGTTTCATGGCTGTGACTTTGCGACTGAGTTGGCAAAGTCACAGTACTCAGTGGTTTCTGAAAAGTAGTGACTGTGCCCAGTCAGGATGTAGTTAGGTGAAAAAAAAAAAAAAAGGAAATACATGTGTTTGTACAGCTATGATGAACAAGCCGCTAGCTGCGTCGCTAGCTGCTCTGCATATGCGAGCGTCGTCGGTTAAGCAAAGGCGTGCCGTGTTCAGTGTGCTGATTTATGAGCGGCACACTTACACGCCTCGACTTCATTTCCAGCTCAGTTACTAATCACACCAAAGCCACGGGGCACAGCGCGGCGTCAACTAAATGCGGCATTCTTGTAATGATTATGTCACGTTGGCACACAACTCAGCTAGCAGGGGCCGCTGGGCGCAGGATCGATGAAGGCATTTATTGATTATTATTTAAATGACCCGGGCTAGTTGCAATATTTAACACCCCATCGCTCCTCTGAGACCTGCGGGACACGACAGGCTTTTAAGATGAAGGCCTTTCGGAGGAGCTAGCATACAAAACGGGGATCGATTAAATGTGGCGTACCCTCAACAGGCACTTTGGTGTTTCTATTAAGGGTTGAATGATGGTGGAATATAATCAAACTAGGATTTTTCTTACTCAATATTATGATTACGATTCTTTATGCCAAAATACCATTTTTTTTAAAGGTCACGGCCGGACATTTTCAATGTAATTATAGTGAGTTTTCGTTTTGTAGAAAGTAAAGTGTAGTTTAAGATAATTGTCGATATTCTTTCATAGTTATTTCGCTCACGGAAAAGATTTTTTTGTTAACGCGAATAACCTTGAGGCATACCTGCTTGTATTCCCCAATAATGGAGCCGTTCTTCTTAATCTCGGATTCCGATTTGTCCAGCTCTCGTCGGCACATCTCCTTCAGCTGTGGACACACACGACAAACTGTTAGAAGTCAGGCACGAAGGGCAGATGTGAGTGCTCTACCGCCATGAACATGTAAAGGAGACAGAAAACTATTGGCAGGCTCGACAGCAGAGGGCAAAATCACATCCTTTCCGCGAGCGCAATCTTTCTCTTCTGCGACCGCACACTCAGGAAGACACGGGACATTACAGGAGGAGAACAGGGAAGTCACAGGGGGAACGGTGGGAAAGGTGACAGCTCTGTCGTCCTTGCCCCGCCCGCTCTTCAACCCAAGTGACGGAATTCGATGTCAGCCACCAGCGGATGTATTTTGACAGGATTTGACAATAGCAGAGGTCACATGGCCACAACACCACACAGAAAGCTGTGATTTTTTTTTTTTGACATGTTCATTTCATCATCTGTCGCCCGACTGCGTACTTCTAAATCACAGGTGTCAAAGTCGTGGCCCGGGGCCCCGATCCGGCCCAACATGATCCTTTTACGTGGCCCGTGGAAGCAAATCTTGCGTGTCACCTTCCATGATCCTTGCTAAAATCTGAGCCACAATTTCTAGACGTGTCATGCATAATAAATATCGCAGAGACCTGCGCCGACTCTTCCTCCAGTCGTCTCTTCTCATCCTCGGCGTCAACGAGTTTCTGTTTGGTCAGCAGCAGCTCCTTGTTCAGGGCGTCGGCCTTCTCCTCAGCCTGACACACAAAAGTGATTCGGTGGTGCCAGGGTCACGATGTTGATGTCACATGTGACATTAAAAAGAATTTCTAATCATATGGATAAATGCATACACTGTGAAGTATATGTTTGAATTTGATCATATTACCGGATTTAAACTTTTGCTGGCCACAGTGTTTGTTACAGACTAACAATGTGCAACTCGGTTGGTATGAGGTATCGCACGAGTTTTCCAACATCCCACAAAAACCAGAAAACGTCCGCCTTTTCTTTTTCCGACTTACGTTGTCAAGGTCTTTGCGCAGGGCAATCTTGCTGCTGACCAGCTCGTGTGCCAGGTCGTCGTTCTCCTGCTCCAAGCGCATGTTGGCCTCCTGCAAACGACGGTTCTCCCTCTGCAGGTCAACGTCGAGACAAAGATTAAAACAGGGCCGAAAGAGGAAGGGAGGTCAGGGGAGTAAAACAAGGGGCGGGCGTGGCCCAATGCAAGCGGGATACGGGAAGCGAAAGCTGCAAATGAACAGAATAACATTAAAGTGGGAGAGCAAACGGGTATGAAATTTAACTAAGGTGAGAACTTGGTGTAATGTTTAACAGGAGATGACCTGCATGTGCATGGTGAACATAAAAAGTCAAGCACCAGAATAGAGCGGGACTGGAAAAATGGATGTACCAAAATAATTTATGGTTAAAAAAATAAAAATAAAAAGTACAGTGCTGTATATTTTTCAAGCTGACTCCAGCTGATATATTACAGGAAACTGTATGTGACTTATGGCCTGCAATGATGTATTACATTTTGATCACCACCCCATATTTTTTGGACTTTTTTTTAAGCTCTAAAATGTTAAAATGTAGTAGATTGTCAAGTTAACCCTGTTACATAAAAATAAAATAAAATAAATAAAGCAAACGTGCCCTGGCACAGCTCACTGTTAAAATGTAGTCAAAGCAGAGAGTTAATCATAAAGCTTTGATGGAAATTTTGTGGGTGGTGGTGTTTGCTTTGCACGCAGACAAACCTCATATCTCTCGATAGGGGCTTCCTGCTGTTCCTGCTGCTCCCGAATGGTGTGGTACTCCTTCTCAAACTTCTTCAGCTTCTTCTGGCTGATCTGAAGCAGAACAGCAATAGATTTTGTTTCTAACCTATTTAGTTGAGTATTGTCACATGTATGAAAAAAGAAAAACACACACGATTGGAATTTTTAAAGCCGGATTTACACTATCGGGTTCAAATGTGACAGTTCGTCAACGATGGTGCCTAAAATCAAGGTGGCTCAGAGGGCACTCTTGCAGGTAAACAAGGTTTGTCAATATGCATGATGTAAAATCGGGAAATCTTATCAAAGTCAGCAGGCTCCTTGACTGAGTTGGGTCTAAAAATATACAGTATTGGCCAAAGTTACCTTGAATGTCCGAAAGTGGGCCAGATGGTCCAAAATCTGTCATAACACGGCTCTGTGTGCGTGCGGCGTGTCAGCGGATTTCAATTAATTTTAAGTTCAACACTGCCCCCTTCTGGTAATAAAGCAGCAGTGTAGAAATTCTAAGGGAAATAATTTCATCGAAAAATACAATAACGGTGGTTGTAAACAATAATCCAAAGGCGTCTGTTAAAATATGTTTGAGTGGGCATGTAACTGCTTCATGACACGTAGAATATATTCATAAAATATTTTATGACACACAATGTGAGGAAAAATATTGAGCGAGAGTATCAAATATCGTTTGGGGAATGTGCCACAATGCTTCACCGGCCCTCATTTAACCATCCCATTTAACCAGGTATACGGTGTTTACAGTTGATTACGCCTGGGTAAAAGGTCACATTCTAAACTCACCTTCATGCTACAAGCCAGCTCCATCAGCTTCTTGGCATTCTCCTCTGAGCGATACCTTTTGGGAACCGGAACACGAAAAAATTTGAGGGCGCCCTCAAAGTCTGTTTGGATCAGATCATCTTTTGATGTCTAAAAGAAAAAGAAGAAGAAATGGGTGACAATTTTCCTTTCGAAGGAAGACCAGAGCCAAGTACTTCTCATCATCAAGACCAGGAACAGTAGAGCTCAGACTTGCAACCACAATCCTGTCCTCTGATTGTTTGTGCGTTGGGAAATTCCCTCCGAGTGCGCACCGCTTCACTCCGACTCAAAGAGCGTTGTTCAAATGTGCCATTTGGCTATTCAGAGCTCACCAAAAAAAAAAAAAAAAAAGGCGTGTCGTGGCTGCAGTGCGTCAGACAGTACAGATGGAAACAGTTCTAGCACAAGCTGCTGATTGAACATAAATAGAGCGGTCAAACATAAATATGATGCAAATGTCACCTTGAGAAGTGCTAGAGCCACGTTGAAGATCACACTGATGCCCTAAGGATGAAAATAACGGGATCAACTACAAGGTAACGCAATATGATGACAGTATGGGGTGCGGCAACGTGGCGCATCTCACCTCACACAGAAGCAGGTCAATGATATGGAAGACCATGTAGAGAGGGAACTTGGCTGTAAAGAGGGTGAGGAACCACTGGGAGGCATACATGTGAGCTTCCAAACCCACGTTCAGGAAATGGGTGTACAAATCGGGTATATATTCCTGATAAAAACAAAGGGCCAACGGGGTAAAGATATGCAAATTTTTAGCGCCTTATTTAAGTCAGAAGACTGCATACGGCGTGCGTGCGTGCGCACTTAATGTTGGGCCCGTGATCGGAATGAACCGTATACAAAAGGCACCAACCTGCATGAGTCTCTCCAGCTGGAAGAACTTGCAATGCAGATCTTCAAAGTTTTGCTTGAACAGGTCCCTGAGGCCATAGTCAAACATGATCTTGACGAGCACACTGAAGGCTTGCTCCTCCGGCATCTGAGCGACAAACTCCAGATTTTTAGGGGCGCGTCCCGATTTACACCGCATATAGGCTGTCGCGTATAAAGTTGGGTCATAATCAAAGTAGAATGTTTCTCATCTTGAGATCGTTCGAAATTGTGCAGCCCTTTTGTTGCAAGGACGCTGTGATGTGGGTTGACCTCTAGGTGGCAATGTTAGCTAAAGAAACCATTCATTCTGGAACTGCAATTTTATTTTTTCTTTGCACTATTGTTGGAATAAAACATTCGAAATCTTGAAGTTGTATATTCTAGTGGTTGTATTGGTAATGCAACATTTAAAACCATTTCCCCCTTACGACAGTGTCAATTATGTAACACCGAATGGAAAAGTAACAACTGTCAGAGGGTGAAAGAAAGAAAACATAACACAATCGGCTGGTTGCGTAAGTGGAAACACCCCAAAGCAAATGCATTGCTGACGCTCCTTTAGGCATATTGGTAAGGAAAAGTTCCAAAATATTTGTACCATGTCAAGATGGCAATCAAAAAACATAATCCTGCCATTAGAGCAACAAACTGAAAAAACAAGGGTGGTTCTCAAATTTCTTTCCATACAATGCAAATTTTGCGTTTACCCAGTCATCCCAATTAAAAAAAAAAAAAAAAAAAAAAAAAAAAACATTATATACAAAACAAAACAATGACGCTAGTTTACAGAAAAACTAACATAAATGGGGGTCAAACTGACCTCGACGATAATAAAATCTGGATTGAAAACTAGATGAAATATTGAGCTCGGCATTAGCTGTGAAGTCATTGACTTTTGCAGGGCTTATTGACACACCAAATGACTGCAACGCACATGCCGCCCTCCAGTAGATCTCACCAGAAGTTATATGGCACCAAAACATCATGGGAGTCGATATCTGAGACTGATGTCAAAAGAGAACATTAAACAGTTGTTCTCTGTGCTTGAAATTGTTGGACAAGATGACTAAACACTTAACTGGAACTCAGCTGATAAAAGGACTTAAGGCATGTGAAAAAAAAACTAAAAACAACGGAAGAACAGATCCCCTCGGCCCTTCAGTTTGTTAGATAAAAAAAAAAATAATGCATTTTTGCTGGACTGATATGGAAACTCACGTGCAACAGTAGCACAGCAGCCAAGAAGGATTGTCCCTGGCAGTAGCCAATCTCCTCATCATATACAGAGTATGCCTGGAGGGAGGAGACAAAGGCAGTGAACAGAAAGTCATTAAATAGGCTTGACAGTTCATGCAAACGCTGAAAAATGAAATGAAAAAAAATAAATAACTAAAAAATAAATAAAATAAAAAAAGAACGTATGAGTCGAAGTTGTTCTCGTGATTGGAACGAATAACAGATGTTGGTCACCCTTCTTGCACAAACTAAGTTAATAAGTGTGAAAGGCAAAGCCAGTGAAACACAAACTTGGAAAACACGATTAAGCTGGGTCCTTTTGGCAGGGAAAAATGACCACCAAAAAAGTTGCGAAAAAAAAGCCAACTCAATCCCTTGATGCAAGGTGGTTCAAATGACATTTGTACAACTTTGAAGTCCTACTTTTCCTGAAAAATTAGGATCAAATTTCTAATTGAAAAATAAGGTCGGCGAGGGATGTTTTTTTTTTTTTAACCATAATGTGGAATAAGACTCGTGCATAAATACAAAGAGAGTGAGACTCTAAATAAAAGGAGGGAAAAGAATGAACAAAGAGCCACATAAAAGCCACGCTTATTTACATCATATCGCTCAGATAGAGCTTGTTTAAATACTGATTCCAGAGCAGATGGGAGTTCCGCTTTTAGAAGCGCACGGCGACCAAACAATGGTCAGAGTGATGTTGGGAGAGAGAGAGAGAGAGAAAAGGAACCCAGGAGATGGTTCATGGTACCATTGTGACAGCGAGAGAAGACGAAGACAACGGGACAAGAGTTTCGCCAAAACGGTTGGCGGTGGCCTACTGAGCTACAAATGCGAGCAATGAGTCAAGTCGAAGGGACAAAGCGCGGATCAATCCACGAGCGGAGCAAAAGAGAGGCGGTGGCGGTGGGGGTGACTGAATTATTTAAACACACCTGAGGAGGTGCTTAACTGCGTCGAGATGGATGCCCTCGCTCGAGTTAGACATGCATAATGAATGAAATGAAAAATCCGAGCGCAGCAAACCACAGCCGCGTCTCAAGAATATGCACGCGCAAGAAATCCTCATTTCATCGTGAAAAGTGGAGAATGCGTCTTAAGATTTCATTTGATGTGTGCTCGGATCGACGGCGTCAAACTCAGCGAAGGCGTCCCGACTGCGCTATCGAGCTGTTGGCACAATCGTTAGGTTGGACGCCAAGGAAATGCAATCGCCGTGATTTACGAGTCCTACAAGGGTTGGGGGGGTGAAGACACAGACCGTCATTGTTTCTAATCACGAGGCCATCAATTGCCCCTGGAAACAAAGCAAAGAAAAAGGCTGATCTTTAATTACTGGTACGTAGAAAGCATTTTCTAGTAATACGAATTTTACAGAGCATTCACATGATTGTTTTGAGAACAGAACTTCCAAAGTGACACCGGATGACTTCTAAATTCAAAACAATTCTTGATGTTGGTACCAATAATTTGTTTTGGGATTCTGGTAAAAGCATTTAAGTGCCAATGGCAGCGAGTTGAAGTAACCTCTGTCTCTATAAAATTAAATAAAGTAAAACCGCTGACCCCAGAGAGTCCCAACAGGTTGATCGCGATCAACTGGTCGATTACAAAGACACTTGAGGTTGATCGCACGCTGGATGAAAACAAAAACAAAACAAAACCCGAGACGTCGGCGCAATTTCTCCACACACTCTCCTCGGCGTACGGAAGCCACGAATAACAAGGGAATGAGCCCTCTGAAGAGATAACGTAATATTGCCTTTCGCAGACTCATTCATACCGAAGTAAGTGGGACAAAATCCTCAAATGTATTATTTGCAGTGGCTGATGTTGATCCAGGGGGTTGCTCTCATCGCTCGTATTGAAATAAAGCGTATTTAAAAATGAGTCTCCTTCATATAATTGATTAAGATAAGAGGAAAGTTGGTCAGTGAGCCTGCCAAGAGGCCTGCAGCATCATTCGGGCATAGCTGGAAATTTGGGCTAACAACTAACTGCATGTGACAACTGCCTTTTACATACTTCATTCGTCAGGGGAGCAGGACTCAAAAGGATTTTTTTGTTTTGTTTTTTTTGACAGGCTGGAAAAAGCATTGCGCGGTTTATGACGGTCCTCTGACATGAATGGCGTGGGTAAAAATACGCGGTGCAAGAAGACACGCTGACTGTTTTTCACCGGGTGGTTCATTTCCAGCCTATAAGTGTTTTTTTTTTTTTTTCATCTCAATATTCGAATGAGGACTTTACGACTTCATTAGTGAGGCTAGCGAGAGACTCCATCGCATTCTGAGTGACAAATTTAAGAGACGTCGCCACAAAGGGACCCCCCGGTATGGAGCGCAAAACCTCTTCGAAATGTGGGTGAGTGTGTAAATACCTTGCAGATCTTATACAGGGAGTCTTGCCCATCTCCTCCGGTGTCTTTGAAGTAGTCATGAGCCGGGAACGTCCTGTTAATGTCCCGAGTGATGGCACTGTCCTGCGGGGATTCCTAGCAGTGAGATAAAGAGAGGGGTGCGGGGGGGATGGGGGTTGCTGTTATATTTATATATAACATGAAAAAGACTCACCACAAGACATTGAAAGAAATCATTCATGGGGAAAATAACGTCCTGACAGTATCTAGCAAGATGGCGGACATATTAGAGAACTTTTAGCATTCGAAACAATCACCACTTTATTGTTACACTGAGACTGCAACTAACAAAAGGGGTTGGGGGGGGGGGTCTACACAGCATCTACAAGTGTCACACAAGATCTGAGTCTCTGATATGCATCAAGTCATCAGCACCTTGTCATCGAAAGCACTACACCGACATCCAGAGAGGAAGAACTGCCAAATGAAAATACAGCGGGTATAAAAAGCAACACAGGAAGAAAGAACTCGTCCAACCAAAGTCAGCTAATGGCGAACATGAACCGGCATCCGCGTGTTGCTGCCGAGTGTGTTCAACAACTTCCAACCGCGCCCTGAAAAATCACAGCCACAGCTGACACTGTTTGTTGTTTACGGTGTGCGGAAGACTGTGTACCAAGTCGACCATGCACACAGTACGTTGAGCGGACTGTATGTACTGTGTTAAGTTCTTCACATTCTGTCATTCCCGAGCCTGCTTATATCTCCGTTACGACGGCAAAAGCAGATAGTGCAATCACTGTAGTTTAAGCCCAAGGCTATTTGATATCGGTCTAACGGCTCACTCGGCGGCTCAGCTTTGTTAATGATACGTTTTACAAGCGGGACTCCGGCAGTGAGTGTTGTCCATAACACGGATCCGCGGCATCCGAGTGAATGATAAGCTTCCGTGTTTATCCGAGCGCCACTTAGCCGTTCTTATCTCGAGTGCTGAGAGCTTAGACAAAGACCTCTGACATAACGGCCAATTAGCTTCCCTTCTGTCTTTCTGGGGGCACTTGAAGGGAGCCTTGGTATGACGCTAGCGTGAGAGGGCAGTGAAAACAGAACCAGTGTCTCATAGCGGTGGACGGAAGCGCGAGGAACAGCAATAAAGACCATTTGCTTCGTCATGACTCAAGTGCAGTCAATTCACAACCCAAAGAAACCATGCGCAATTGTTGTTACCCCTCTGTTAGTGTAAGAAAAACCTGAAGGGGTCACAGAAATAAATTGAATCTGACAAAAGAAGTAGTCATTAAAAAAATAATATGAACCAATTAAAAAATAACCAATGAAAATCAATATACTGCTTTTGAATTGTGGTTTCACAGATTTTTCCTTGAAACAAACTCATTCAATAGGCCTGGACAAAAATGCAAAAATGACCCTGGACCATTAACATTCTGTTGCGCAACCTTTTGTGGAAATCATAGCAAATGATCTCGATGAGACCTCTGCACCTCCCCTGCAGAAATTTTGGCCCACAATACCTTGATGGTCTTGAGAATTCATTGCAGCCTGCACAAGAGATTCTACACACCATGTCAGATGGAGCAAAGCAGCCCCAGAGCATAACAGATCCTCTTCCATGCTTGACAGAAGGGACAGTGTTCTTTTCTCGGTATGCTTCATTTTTTTGAACATCGAGCTGCTGTGCTTTGCTAAAAAAGTTGTTTATCCTCATCTGTCCATCGCACATTATCTCAGGAGATTTGTGGCTTGTCAACAAGGAATTTGGCAGATTCCAGTCTCATGACCCAATGATTTATTTTCAACAGTGGTGCCCTCCTTGGTCGTATCACTTGGAAGTACACTTTGGCTCAAACGACGATGACTGCTGCAATTTGATGATGTAGCGTGACCTTAGAGTTCACGTTGAATTTCTCAGGAGGTTGCTCTGTGCTCTCGACTTGTCCGTTTTCCTCCTGAGGCCACGTCCAGGCAGACTGGCTAGAAGTGAATGGTTGCTTTTGCTAGAAACGGCTTAGCGAGTTTCAAAGTCTCAAGAAGTCTGGAATAACAGCTCAAAAAGTCAGCTATTTTAGTTAATTAATTTTTATTATTATTTTAAATCACTGGCAGGGTCTGAAACACGAAAAGTCACAAATTTGGCAACACTACGCTGACGCTTGCTTAATCGCATTCCCTGTGTGAAATAGGGTGCAATTTATTTTTATCCTTTGTTGGTGCAAGAATGTCACACGTTACGACTGAAACACTGGTGAAATGTTTTGAAATGGAAATATTGCATGAAAACAGTTTTTTGGGGGGTGTGGGGTTGAAGAGTTCAATTACAGTCATAACGTCAAGCCAATTAATGGTGATTAAAAACTGTGAATGCTGATTTGGTTCGGCTCATCATATTTGATGGGGAACAAAGCAGTATTGGTACTTTGCTTTTTTTATTAATCATGAATGGCTTCATAAAATAAATGCATTGACTTTGGCCTCGGCCACGAATGTCTTTGTAACTTCTTCAACTCCAGAACGATTCAGAGGAACTATGTTCAATCCGTTTTCTCCAGAACGGTCATAGAGCGTGAGCAAGCTGATCTAATTAGTATAGCCAGCGCCGCTGGTTGGACGATGATGAAAAACAAAAACAAAAAAATAAAATAAATAACTGGATTTTATGAGAATGTAATAACAACAAACAAAACCTCAGTTGTTCCCAAAGTTGGTTCTGTCACAACATATGAAAAGAATTATCTGACGATGAGGCTATGATATGGATTTTTGCTTTGCTTTTTTTTAGCACAGCCACATAGATTTGAAGGATTTATTTTTAAAAATAGCATTTCATGGATGGACACCAAATGTAATAAAACAAAAACTTGCCAAATATGGCAAGACCCCACAATGTGTGCGAGGCCGTGTGCTGCATGACTACTGCAATTGTGGGAATAGCGGATCCGCGTTGCGCTTCCGTGGGAAGGTTGCGTATTTAGCCCTCTATTGTTCATGTCCCTGATTTTGCTGGAGTTAACACAATGGCTGACTTGTCACTCTGTTGTTCTTTCTCCGCTCCCCGTTGAAATGCCAAATGAACATACGGCCGGATATTATTGAAACCTCACAATTTCTTCCCCTCGCAGGTTTTTTTTTTCCATTTTCCAACGCGTGTCGTTATTGTGTCTGAATGTTGCTACGCCATGTTTGCAGACTCAACCAAATCATGATCGTCACACCGGAGTTTTTGTGCCAACTTCAACCGCTGTGTCGCGTCAGCCTCGACAAGCGACAGAAGCATCATCCCAAACACAACAAGGTTACAAGACAAGACGACGTAAAGCGCCAAATCGACATCCTGCGCTCTCTTATGGCATCAATCTCGCATCATTCAGTCATCCGCTAAAACGCGCGCCGCCTCATTACCAGAATGCACACTCAGCGCTCCGCATTCTGGTGCCGGTGTGTTACAGTCCATTTACATCATGTTAGGACTTTCTCGGCGACAATCTTAAACTGACACGTTTGCAATTCAGCAAATGATTTAGTTCTGCATGATTGGAAGCTATTACTTTTTTTTTTTTTTTTTTTTAAGACCTGACAAAAGAATTCCATCCACCATATTTGTTAGTCTGTTGTCAAAATGTGTTCCTATCATGGAGAGCGCACAGCATGCGTTTGGAATGTTTTATCATCCGCTGTGATGAGAAAAAAGGTACACAGAGACGTCAAAAAGTACATCGAGATAAAATGACATTTATTTTCTCAGTACAGATGCACAACATGTACAAAGTTACAATACGATATACAGTACACGTAGGTTTGCCGCCTACAGAGAATCATAAAAGTCTTCTGGTATTAGTCACAGGATCTCGTTTCAAATAAAACACACATTTGATTGCTTCTATCTCGACATTCATTTGACTAAACTCGTCCTGGATCAGACCGTGACTTAGAATGGGAAGACTGGACTCTTCTTATCTCAGGGAGTTTTCAAGCGCAAAAAAGTCAGCTGCTCCCAAAAGCTGGGTCATGAGTGTACAATTAGCTCCGTACTGCTGTGTCCTATTTAGATCCTAAAATAAGCACAAAGAAAAACCCAAAACAGATTGGAAGACAGATAAGGAATTGTCTGACTCCAGCCCTGCATGTGTGTTAAAGCGCAGCAATTGATTACGTTTGTACAAGCTCTTTCAAATGTTTCAGAGCCAATTATATTCAGTACTTCGAGTCCTGAATTGTGTCTTAACGCGAAATAATTTAATGAGAGTATCTCTCAAACGGCATTTATTTACAAGGAGCCACGCTGTATGTACAGATTGAGAAATTATTGACAAAATAATGAATCCACTTGCTCCCTGACCAACAAACAACCCATAAAGTAGTGCGCATAAACTTGCCGGCAGCAGCAACACCCGTCACCCGACCTTGAAATTTCTTTTTTTTTTTTTTTTTTTTTTTTTAAAAAAAGAGAAAAAAAAACTTGATAAATTCTGATCACTTCAGTAGATTGCAATCCAGAAAAAACAAGTTACAGTAGAATCGCCTCAATAAAATCTGCCAAGGGAAAGATGCACTTTCATAATAAATACAATTGCAGTTAGAAATGAGGCAGAAGCCATCTTCACAATAACATCGACGCACACATTCAATATGCCATTTCTTGACACTGACAACGCGGTGGACGACACAAGGTAGCAACATGAGCGATTATCGTACTGTATTTGGCACTGCTTCACAAATGACAGCATTTTGTAAGACAACACGTGAATCTATCATGAATTAAGTCATCCTAATTACAAAACTGTACACCCACAAAAACACTTCAAATATCCTCGAGCAATGACAGGCGGAAAAAAAAAAAAACTGCGTTAGCACCCTCGCTTCAATTAACAGTCTTGTTCAGCCGTTGGTCGCGTTCCAGTACACCCGAACCGAGTTGCAGACGCTCCGGTGTGCGAGAAAAAACAACATCATGAAAACATGCCAGCCTGACAAGTCAGCTGTTGAAAAGTACAAACGGTCCCACGTAAAATTGACAGCACCCTGTCTAACAGTCGCGTGTCGACAAAACTCAGCCCTCTAGAAACGGAAGAGTAACGCAAGCCCACTTCAATTTGTATTTCAACGCAAGAATGAATGACTTCAAACGGCGCTTCACAGTTTTGCGGGTCTTCACCAAAAGTGCAGCGCCGCCTCAAATATTTCATCTCCATACCGGTTACCAACTGAAAAATTTTTAAGCACACATCAACTCTCTTTGGTATACAACATAAGGTACTGTACATAAAGCTAAGTTATCTTTTTCCGCGCTTTGTATTCTTACAACGGATCTATTCAGCTTGCTGAATGTGACGTTCCAGCACGTTCCGAAAAGCACAGATGAAGAGATGATGGAAACATACAATACACGCATGCACACAAGAGACGTGCGGGTCTCAGGGGTCACTCTCTTTTCAGGGGAACTTTGGAACCAGAGAGAATGGCCTCTCTGTTTTGTTTTTTCTGTGTGTGTGTGTGTGTGTGTGTGTGTGTGTGTGTGTGTGTGTGTGTGCGTGTGTGTGTGTGTGTGTGTGTGTGTGTGTGTGTGTGTGTGTTGTCCTGTGATGGTCAACGGTTATGTGCAAACGGACAGGTACATTACAGTGATCACAATGCTGAATCGAACTACCGCTGCGCTCGATGGAACAAGGCAGTTCTTCATATTCGGGATGTGGAGTTGACCACAAAATGTAACGTGTTTGCAGGCAAAAGATGTACCAGATAACAGCGGGGTGGGGATAATAATTATGTACCGGTTATCAGCGTACAGTTGGTGTAAAAACATCTGCTCTCTTGTTTTGATTGACACTTACACCGAGTTACACAATAGCCAAGCAATGAAATGAACATACAGCAGAGAAAATTGGAGTGTCAACTGCATTACATGCAACAAGAGAACGGAGTTTAAAAAAAAAATAATAATACTGCAGTGTTTGGAAAACAGTCAAAGCCATTCATTTGAACCCAAGGAATTTCCATCGAGGGCTGAGTATCTTGTCGAAACCGCTAGAAAATTGATAGAAGCCATACGGTCTACCTCGACATTGTTTCTGTTGTGTTTATTCTTCACGGATTACGCGCAGCCAGACGGTGTCATTCACTGATTTGAACATACACTAACTTGACACATAACTCTTATTCTAAGTGCAGCGAAGGGCAAGAACACCTCCCAAGTAGTTCATATATTAAGACTTCAGCTTGCTTCCGACGTAATGTTCTGTTTGCATTCGCGTCGTTTTCTCAACTGACGTACGCTTCATTCATGACAATCCTCAATCCTTGCATTGTGTTGCCTTAACAACAACAAGAAAAACAAAAAAAGAAACAATCCCATCCAACTTTTACGACTGTCCCCTCCCATGGACGAATGACACCTTGTAAGCCTATTTAGCCCAGTTTATCCTTCAGCGGCTCACGCCAGACTCCCCCCAGCTGCCAGGCGTGGCGTGAGCAGAGAGGACGTCTGTGTAACCTCCAAATGTGATGGAAAAAGCAGTGGCACAATCACGCCTCCTTCCATCTCTTCGTGGCAACATTTCATTTTGCAGAGGAGAGACACTTCAGCCGAGCCGTTGAAACGCCAAACGTGGCGCAAAGCTGTCCCCGACGAGGCCACTACACATGACACGTTGTGCCAATTCCTATCTCTCCGTGGCCGGATCCGTACCCTGCCACAGTACATCCCTGGTCGATAGAACCGATGAAAGCCTTTTTGGGTTTCCTGACGCCGAAGCCGCTGCCGCTGCGCTGTAAGCAGTACGAGCAGAGACGCTTGAGGCCCTTCCTGAAGGCGGAGTTGGAGAGGCTGTAGATGAGGCAGTTACAGAAGCTGTTACTGATGGCCAGCCAAGTGGTGAGGAAAGACGCCGCCGGGTGATGGTAGAGTCCACCGCTCTCCAACAGAAAGTAAATGATGTAGGGCAACCAGAGGATGTAGAAAACGCTGGTAATGCGGAACAGTACCATGGCATACCGTTTATCCGGGTATGTGGAACAGGGTTGTTGATAATGCGGGTGTTGATGGTGGTGTTTCTGAGGTTTGAATAAGCCAGGAGAATGCCTTTGGTCCAGCTCGCCACTGTCCTTGGACAAAGATCCCGATGTCAAAGCCGGATCTGGGTGCGGTTGGGGTCGGTAGCGCGCCTGACGTTCGCTGATCTCCCGCGTGTGCTGCTGGCAGATCTTGAAGATGTTGGCGTAAGTGAAGCAGACCGTGAGAGCGGCGGGCGCATAGAGAAGCACGACAATCAAGGTGGTGAAGGCCGGCTGGGTCCTCCACTTGACAGCGCACCACTCCACCACGTCGCCGTGGTAACCGGGCTTCCCCCAACCGAGGAATGACGGCAGAAACACCAGTGCCGAGTACAACCAAATCAGAATGATGCAGCAGCGCACCCGACACGGTGTCACCAGGGCCGCGTAGGTCAGGGGTTGCGTGATGGCGATGTAGCGGTCCACGCTCACGCATGCCAACGACGCCATGGAGACGGACTTCAAAACGGACACCAGGTATCCAAACACCTGGCAGGTGAGTTTGGGGTCAAGACCTTGGAGGTGATGCAATAAGGACAAGGAGGGGAAGAGGCAGCTGACACCCACAAGCAAATCGGCGTACGCCATCGTCTGGATGAAAGCGCTGGTGGTGTGCTGGCTCAGCAAAGGGGCGCAGTGAAAAACAAAAATCACCACCAAGTTGCCTGAAATAATCAGAACGGTGAGGAGAAGGATAATGGAGACTTCGAGCAGGCAGGTGGTGAAGATTTCGGAATAGCTGATCTCAAGCAGGCAAAAGGGAGCAGTGAAGTTCGGCAGGTCAGCAGAGCTCAGGTTCAATGGATCCAGGGTGGAATTCATCATCGTGGGCAGGAGGACGTCTCTCGGGGGCCCTTCGAGGGTAAGGTGAACCGTTGGACTCGTTTGAAACTAACTGCACAGTTTCATTCTACACCAAATGCTCCATGCTTCAATTCCGTAGTTAATCTGCCGCTTCATTTCAAATGCCAAGCGGGATGGAAGGGGAGCCCACTGATTGCACGCTGTTTTGAATTTTAAAAAAAAAACAACAGCAGCAGGCAAAATAACATAAGACGTATCTACTGCTTTCCACAGGCAAAAAGTGTGTCTTTGTAGAAGAAAAAAAATCCAGTCCGGTTTGTCCTCGCCAAGCCTTTGGTACCCCGAATCGCAGAGATGGCTCCAACATCTCCCGCGGAAGGGTCAGAACGAGGAATCCCTCTTATATTTTTGGAGTCCACAGAAACACAAACGCGGGTTCCAGAGAAGAATGAACGCGGTGCAACATGCTGAAGAAACAAAGCAGTCATCAACGATGCTTAGTCCAGCTCTTCCTGGTTCTCGTTCTTTTCCTCTTCCTCTCTTGCCTCTTCTTTACCTTATTTCCACCACAGTTCCGTGTGTGCGGGCTCTTTATCCGCCCCCCTCCCC